CACACACACACACACACACACACACACACACACACACACACACACACCTCTTTTTGACCTGGCTGCGCTACACTTCACTCACTCCTTCACACCTCTCTGAGGTTTTTGAAGTACTCGTACTGCAGAAGACTTTAGTTGAACATCAAACTAAGCAACCGAACTATTCTATCTGTAAAACTCGATGGGATTCGTACGACAGAGGGGCCTGCAGGCCGCAGCAATGGGAGTATAGCACCAGTAATTGTTCACCGACAATCAGAGCACTCCTGCTGGAGAGCCAGTTACCGCCACGGTCATGCTGTAAGCAGTGTAACCAACGACCATCTCCATCAGGGCTGGGTATCACCCTCCAACTTAAGGCATCAAAAAAGGGTTTAAAAATATTAAAAAGCCAAAAAAAAAAGTGCTGAATTTCTAAATGAGTAAATAAACTGAGCCTCGTGAAGCTGGTGGTCCAAAACAAATGTTGCATGTGAGCTCATTTGCTGCAGAAGGTGACGATAAACTTAAAAGACTACAGACTGTACACGGCACAGCTAAATGCTGACGTCAGCATGCTAACTTCTGCACGACGCCTGAAGCGATGAAATGGTTCATGTGCTATAATACCCAGCCCTGACCAACACCTTCCACTCTCAAGTCAACCAGTGATTCAGTCACTTCAAGGCACCGTGCACACGTCACACTTTGGGGCTGTGATTCTGCTCTAATCCCAACGGCCCGAACAAAAAGTCACGCAGGGAATCTCGTTGATAGCAAAGTAATTGATCTATTGCACGTACTGCAGGAGCGGTGGGATTTGGGGGGGGGGGGGGGGGGGGGGCACAGTGGTAGATACGTGTTGCTCAAAACACAGTTCAATGGTAATCACAGCACAGATATGATCCATCTGCCTTAGAAAAAGACTTAAATACATTGCATATATATGTGCGTACTCTGAACAACACTACTCGACAAGTTTGCTCTACAAAGAAGACGAAGAGGTGAGGTAAACTGGAGCGTTACCTTCCACGTCTCCCTTCTGTGTAACTCACGAACTCCCATCAGCAACTAACAAGCAGCCATTCCTCACACCTCCATCAGTCGCTCCTTCATTTGTCCTCCGTTACTCTACATGTAGTGGCTGCTAGAAGGCACCGCAACATCTACAACCAGATTCATTCAAGCGGCTTTGACTCTCACTGTCCTTCCTAAAAAAAAAAATAAATAAAGTACGCCTTCGAATTTAGGCAGCGAGAACAGCATACTTAGCATTATCACTAAAACACAAGAGACTGCTTCTGGCCGGCAACAGCCGTGGATTCAAGTAACAAATGCTGACAACGCCTCCTCTCATACGACGATTCAGTCAGGCATTAAAACTGTGTTATTCAGTCAATATCTAAAGGTGGACTCTGAGTTTTGTCCCAAAATCGGAGCTTCCGCTTGGCATTCGTCTGCCTGTGGAGATCCGTCTCCTCCGTCTCGGAGGTTTAAAACTGGACAGTTAAGAAACAGCTGCCATCAACACGGCCGATTAAGAAAACGTCTACATGTTAAGGTTTTAAAAAAAAGTGTAACTTTAGGAGTTATGTTGATGTGTTGAGTTGTAAACTAAGCAAATCCTTCATATTTGATTGTCATATGCAATGTTATCTTCAACTTATTGTCCTGTTGCTGATTTCTATCCACCATCTCGTGGGACACAGTCCTGGTCTTCAATCGCTTCAGCCTGACTTTGACTGCAAGTTGAGCAATAGCGACGACACGCGACGGTTGAGCCACACGTAGCGGTGGTTTGTTTTCTGGGAGCAGTCGGACACGGTGGAGTTTCTTGCTTCTAACATTGCATCGTATGACAACTGGAAGTGAAAGTGGCCCCTCCTCCTATGAAGGTGAACCAGGTTTAGAGAGAGAGATAGTAAAGCACTGTCTGCTCGAGTCCTCCAGCATCACTCAGCCTGAAGCTCTTCAAAACATTACGGAAAAGCCAGCTAGTTTCTCGACCTGAACGCTGCCTCTTATTAAAAAAAGAAATCATAGATGACGGGAAAAATCAGAGTTGTAACATAACTAAAGCCTGCTGTAGAATTGTATCTATTTGCTTGGCATGTTTAACTCCTTGACCAAAAAACAACAACACTTGCATATGTTTTATAGTCTTGGACCGGCCTTGTCATTTGTCAAAGCCAGTGGGCAATTTGAGGGAATCTGCCTCGGTAACTGGTGACTCAATTCCCATTATCGGTTTAGATTTGTGTAAATAATATCTCTTAAAGAATAATTCGGTTCAAATTGCCCACTGAGCTGAGGTCACCAGACACTGCCTGGTCAAACGTCGAGTGATCCAACGTGATTTTCTACACAACAAGCGCCGTTTCACTTGTAATTCACATTCTTTCTCACTGGAGATTCTTCTCTTTGTCTGTTTTAAGAAGAGTTTAACTATTTACATTTAATCTATATTTTCACTTCAGAGTTATTCATGTAAAAAAACAAAAACTAATTTAGACCCTGATGGAAATTAACTATTTTCCCCACCAGGTAAGCAGCAGAGCACTTTTTGGTTTATTCTGCTGCTCATTAACACAGTGGGGGGGGATTGGACCTCTACCACCGAGCCATTCAGATATACAGTGGCGTTCCTTTTTAAAGAGTTCAATCCGGGATGAAACATGGATGTCTGTTTCAACAGCAGAGTGGAGCTAACCAGCAGCATGTTCACCCGTCCTGTGTCCTCCTGTGCTCGGTGTCTTTTACTCGCATCAGCTGAGACAGGACGTGGCTGAAACGTGCGGTGGAGGCGTCTGTGCTGTGAAACGGGTCAGGCTAGATTACTTTTATCAACAGATCTTAAGGACCTAACTAATAAACTGGAATGACTTATTTTAGAGAAGACTCTTCATGTAACTCTCCAGGATAGAGTGAGCGAGACATTTTTTGAACTCTTTTTCAGCCTTTTTAGTCGTGTATCCCCTTGAAAGAAGCTTTTTTTTGGCAAACAAGGGTTTTCAATGTTTTGTGGTGGAAGCGGAGCCCGTTTCCCAAAAGCATGGCGGCGCTAAAGAGCCAGCTGAGCAGCCACACGGTTATATTTAACAGCGGTTGTTTTCAGCAGCAGCCGTGTGGTATTTCATAGGATAGATAACGTCTACAGAAGACTTCTGCCACATGTAAAAAGTGACAGAGAGATGGGTTTTTACCAGTTATTGTAAAGGTAAAAATGAATTCTTTCTGACACTATGAGGAGCGAATCTCTATTTCACAACCACACGTCTGAAGGGTGAGAGAACATAACATAACTGCTGCTGCACAACGAGGCCAACTTCCTTCCCTGTAGCTGACGCAACGTGACCCAACGATTAGCGACAAGATGCCTTTGAGAAACCTCAAACTCAAGCTCAAACCAGAGCTGCAGATGTGACATATAGGTCAATAAGTAGGACTCGGTTTCCCAAAAGCAGAAAACCACTGTTGCTTCCTCTGCTCGCCGCATCGTAAAGCAAAGAAGTCACAAGACAAATGTCTCGTTAGTCGCTCTGGATGAGGGTTTATCGGAAGAATCTAGAAATATGGTGACAGTGGTGCTTTGCTTTTGGGAATCAGCTCATCAGAGACCTGACGAATTTGAACTCCAATAGACAGACAAGGAATCGTTTTGAGTTTCCTCATCCCGGTTTGTGTTTAGTTTGTTTTTTTTGCCAAGGTTTGATTTAGTTCAAGCCTAGTTTGTTTCCTTCCAAATATAAATAAAGAAAAACATGTTTAAACCCATACATGACATTAAATACATATCGTTTTAGTCACAGTTGGCTAATACCTGTAGCCACTCACCTATTATGGCAATTAAAACAACGGAAATAAGAGACAAAGTTCAAATTCTTAAAGGCACAGTACAGAAACAAATGATCCTCCATTATGTTTTGTTTCAAACAAAGAAAATGCTGTTTGCTAGCATCGTTGCTAATCGGGGCGACAGCGTCTGCTGGCGTCCCACCGGCTGGGTGTCTCAGTTTGTCCAGCCCCTTGTCCCTCCGAGACATCTTTCTCAGATCTCGGGAAATCAAGACTTCATCATGTTTAAAAAAAAAAAAGGTGAAAAATAACTAAAACATTTTCTGTGGCTGCTTTTCAGTATCTATCATGTGAATGAAGGAGCCTTCAGCCAGCTCCCGTTTTGGAATTTGTATGCAGACATATCTTGCTCAGATTTGACATCTTGCCTATCTCTGCGCTCTATTTTAGAAAAGTTTTTGGCCGGCGATTTACAACATGGCCATGCATTACATACAAAGATGACATGTGAAGGTACACAGGACGCCTGGCTGGCTTTGGGTGAATGCAGACAAAAACACAATGAAGCCAAAACTCATATCTAAAGTGGAAAACCCCCCAAAAAAAAACAGATTTCCCCCTGCTCTTCTACATCGTTTTGTAGGACTAACTCACTGTAAATATTAAATGTCCATAATCTTAGGGGGTTAAAGTAACACCTAGATCTTTAAGTCAATTGGTTATTTTTCTTCAAGCACTTGCCACAAAGGATAGTTCAACATGTCCTCACTGACACTAAAGGATGATGCTAGTGTTGAAAAGTAACCAACTAAAACTGAAGTATCCCTTTATAATGTGGCCTATTGGAAGAGGTGACATTTACCAGAAATTAAGAAGAAAAGATGGGGGACGTAAAGACGAAGGTGGAGAGAACGAGAAAAGGAATAGAATTAAAAGATCTGAGTGCATAGGGATGGAAAGAGGGCTATATAAATGAGTATAAATAGTTAATAACATGCACGTGGGTTCTCGGTGTTAATGAAGGGGAGAAGGTGGATGGGGTGCAGACAACAGTGTGGAGAAAGGAAGGAGGATGAGTGAGAAGAGAGAGGGATGAGTAAAGGGAGGAGGGAGGAACCTAGTTGCCCCACCAGTCAACTTGAGAGTGCGAGTAGTTTCCTCCGTAGCCGTCGCTGGTGTAGAAGTTACCGAAACTACCTGCAAGGGAGGAAACGGGAGAAAATGAACCAAAAGTAACAACAAACTTCAAGTTGAGCTGCAGCTCTTTATCCCAGATCCTCACCTCCTCCAAACCCGCGGGTTCCTCCGTGTGCTGCCTGGTTGCGGCCTCCACGTCCTCCGAACCCTCCGGCGGTGCCTCCGGCGGCCGTTTGACGATAATCACGTGCTCCGAAACCACCGGAGAACCTGGCGGCAAAATCAAATACACCGTGAACGTCACTGCGTTTGGACAAAAGGTAATCAATGAAGAGGAGACGGTGTTGTACCTCTTAGAGCGTCCTCTGTTGGTGCTCTTATGCTGGTGTTCATAGGCCAGGCTCTCGAGCCATGAGGGAACTTCCTGTTTGGCCTCTACCAGGATGTCCAGCAGGTCTTTAGTGATATTCCCGTTTTTATCGTTGAAGAACGATGTGGCCAGTCCTACAGGCAAAAAGTAATAGTCGAAGTAAATCACAATGTTTGGTGGGGTGAGGGTCAAAACGCCTCATACCACTGACTAACTTTAGCTGTCGTCTTACCCAGGTTTCCGACTCGGCCTGTACGTCCAATGCGGTGGACATACTCCTCTATGTCACTGGGCAGGTCAAAGTTAATCACATGTTTCACATTGGAGATGTCCAGACCGCGAGCTGCCACCTAAATTGTACAAAGAAAAGAAAAGTCACTCAAACACAGTGATGCTAATACCTGGAACTTGAATGCTAAGAACATCATCTTTTTCATATTTGTGTGTCTCGTGGGATTTCATTGTTACTGACCGCCGTGGCCACCAGAATGGGGCATTTTCCTGATCTGAACTGGCTCAGGGCCTCCTCTCGGTCTCTCTGTGAGCGGTCGCCGTGGATGCTGGTGCAGGCGTAGCCCTCCCGGTACAGGAAGTCCTCCAAGGCGTCGGCGCCTTTCTTGGTCTCCACGAATACCAGGGTCAACGAGTCCTTCCCTGATGAGCCGAGAGAAAAAACGCCCGATGGTAATCGTTAAAAGGTTTGTGGATAATCGCCGAGTTTATAACACAGGCGCCGATTTAAACTAAGCAGCTGCAGAGTTTTACTGTTTTAAAACCTCCGATTTTAAATACTGAAAAGAAGAAAGGTCAGGGGGGGGTCACCAAAATCATGAGGAAGAATCTTTTAGTAAGGACTAGCATCTATACAAAATTGAAACTTCACACTGGTCGTTTGTTGACAAGGTATCTTTCTCTCAACCTAAGAGATAAACACACCACATCACATTCATTTCATGGTGTGGATCTGACTTGTATCTAATAGATTGTGGTACCATGGAAGAACCACCACTTAATTCTTATACTCAACAAAGCATTGATGTCAGCTTTCAAGAAGCTTTGTGACATCTTGATTTGATGTGACACAATCCTGTATATCAAAAGATTTGTATCCAAAAGTCAGAATAAATAACATCTGGATTCCTACAGCTGGCAAACAAAAAATATGTTTGTCAAAGTGAAACATTTGTGAGGAAATTCACCATTTTACTGTATGGTATTCATTCATTTGCAATAAAAAAAAAAAATAAATAAATAAAAAAAAAAAAAAGGAGCTGCAGGTACAGAATATGTTGCATCACACGGACGATGAATAAATAAATAAATCAGCCCTACTGAGATACATACATCTTGATAACATGCACTCAAATTAGTTTAAAATGTTCACATCACATGTTTCTATGGAGAGAACAGTGCAACAGGGAGTGCAGTATGGAGAAAAATTATAATTACAAGAAATAATAGCTAACAGGATCAGCAGCACTGTGTTGTGACTTGAGCCGCTGATGGAAAGAGTTTGGTCATCGCTCTGATGAACATTACTTTCTGATTATGAATTGACGGGCATGATTGGCCCACACTTGTATCCCCTCGCTAGCGGTGGAGACTACAACATAACCAGACTCTCTCCATCAAGGCTCTGGGTCCGACATGAAGACACCACAGCGGCATACTGCACGTAAAGATGCCACGAAAAAAAAACTCGACAACTGAGGGGGAAAAAAAAAAAAGTACAACAAGCATGTTTGATTTAAGGCTGAGCAAACTGGACCCATGAAATGGTACACGGAACCAAAACATAACGGAATAAACAAAGGAGTCTCCATCCACAGAGAAGAACATCAAAGGGCAAGCAAAAGTATTTTAAATGTGAAATGACAATTTTCTCATCAAGGATCTTACCAGGTTTCTCTATGTTGTCTCCAGTATTGTCCTGTACCTCGCTGGGGATGACTTAGGATAAAACCACACCAAACCACCAACATGTCAACTGCACTCAAATCAGCAGTAGAAAACCAACTCTGTATGTTTGATGTTCCTGATGTACCCGAGGTATGCGTCACAGGAATGTATCGGCTGAGATGGGAGGACGACAATATGATAATGGCAAACGGATCGGGGAAATAAAACCGCATTGTGTGTGCGTGCGTGTGTGCTAGCAGTAGCTCTAAACCGGTGTTTATGTTTTGTGTGTCGTCGTTCTGCAGTGTTGGGACATATCTGAAGGCAATGAGCCGTTACGCGACGGTCTCACCTGTAGCACTGAGCAGGTCCAGGAGGAAGGACCTCTTGTCGCTCTCCTCCACCCACACAACTTTCTGAGTGATGTTCTCTGAGGTGGAACCCACTCGGCCCACCGCCAGGAAGATGTACTCCTCCAGGAAATCCCTGGCCAGGATCTGGAAGTGGAGCAGAAAATGTGCTTATGAATACATTTTTAGCACTTCAGGTGCCTCAGACATTGATGCTTTACAGCAAACGGACCTGGATCTCTTTCGGAAAGGTTGCGCTGAACATCATGGTTTGTCGGATGCCTTTGTGCGGCATGGTGTCCTGTTCAACGATGCGTCTTATCTGGGGTTCGAATCCCATGTCCAACATACGATCTGCCTCATCCAGGACCAGGTAGCTGAAGATAAGAGGGCACAGAGGAAGAGGAGGAGGTCGTAATCTTTAAAATAAAGCTAAAACTGGAACGTGATCATATAAAATGCATCTCATCCCAGAAGACAAGTGATGGAAATTGAACCAGTCCATGTCTTACTTGCAGTAGTCCAGTCCAATCTTGCCCCTCTCCATCATGTCCACCAGTCTTCCAGGTGTGGCCACCAGCAGGTGGCATCCTCTCTCCAGATCCCTTATCTGCTGGCCAATGTCGGCTCCTCCATACACCACGCAGGGACGCACTCTGGAGCGGTAGGAAAACTACAGACAACAGACGAAAAAGGTTGAAGAAACGCATCGATAAACGTTGGTCCAGATGTCATGCTGATGTGACTGCATACCTTCCTGGCTTCGTCATATATCTGCAGCGCCAGCTCTCTGGTTGGAGCCAACACCAGTGAGATGGGGTAGTGCTTACGACGGCCATACTTTCCATTGTCCTGAAATGACAACACAACATCTCAATTACAAAGGTTAAAGTCAAGCCGTACTAGGCCAGTAGATCCCTACCTGAGAGGAGGTCATTTGTTCCTACCTGTCCAGATGCTTTAGCTGCGTTGAGAGCTTCTCCTGGTCCATCGTTGTAAATCTGGCTGAGAATCGGCAGCAGGAACGCTGCAGTCTTCCCAGAACCTACGGACACAACGCCAACCTCATCCATCTCCTCGTGCATTCAGGATCATCTCAAGAATCTAACTGAAAGATTATGTACAGTGTGTGTTTGTGTCCTACCTGTCTGTGCGCAGGCCATGAGGTCTCGCTTTGCCTTGACAATAGGAATGGCATATTTCTGGACAGGGGTCGGTCTGGTGTAGCGACTCAGAGCAATGTTACCCATGACAATCTCCCCCATGTCCACATCTTGGAACTACAGAGCACAAAATAAATACACCATTTACAAAAAAGCAGCGGGTATATCGTGTAATATTGTTGGATCTCTAGTTAACAGCAGCTTACGCTGTTGATGTGTTGAGGGCAGTTCTGTCCTGTGGCCTCAACAGGAATGTCATCGTACTTCTCAAAGTTAATCCCAGTGTTACTGCCGGCGAACAATTCACTAGAGAGGAAACACAAAAGAATGATACAGTAATTATTATCACTATCAATGAATCAGACCAACAGGACAAAACCCTGAAGAATACAACATAGACTCACTTTTCAAGGCGTTCGTTACGTGGTACTGGTTTGGACCAGTCTCCCTCCTCCCTGGACTCCTCCACCCAGCGGCTGTTTCCTCCTCCTCCTCCTCCTCCTCCTCCTCCTCCTCCTCCTCCTCCTCCTCC